TCTGTTTTCACCTATATTCAGTGGTTCACCCTATGAGACAATAAACCGAGGCCCTGTGTGCTCAAGCCTCAAGGCTATGCAGGTACAAAACCCCTTAAATAAGGTCTAGTTTAGAATAGAAAAAGAGTAGGCAAATGCAGCTGAACTGACAAAATTTCCCTCATTGCACACTTTTTTATCATAGCAATACAGAGCTGAAAAGTGGGGCGTTAAGTTTTAAGTCGGCTTATTTGAAAAATACTTGACCCACTAAAGCGAAAGTAGATCTCTCACGTGATGAGGTGATTTTCCATTTACGATTTTCACTTCTGGCATTCTGCTCCTATAACTTACTTGTAATCATTTGCTGGCAAATCCAAATCTTTGAAATTGATTTTCCGAGAGGTGGTTTGGCAGATACATGGGTCGGATGTTTTAACACATTCGTCAGCCAAAATTTGTTGAAAACAAATCAAAAGGGACAGAAAAATTAGAAAATTCCCTTCTTTCGACATGATGAATTTCTTTCTATTTCTAACCCGGAAGTTTATAATCTCGTGACCCAAACACAACACTCGATTATACAAGACGCAAAGTTTTGTGGAGTCTCAATCATCCGGTATTTCTTTGTTGTGCATTTCAACATTAGAAGTCTGGATGTCGGAGACTATTTATGGATAGACTAAAATCGAAATGTACCCAAACTTTAAGAACAAGAACGCAAATGCCGATTTTTTCAATTTTCAAATTGAAATTCTTATACAATTTTATTATCCTTGCAGTAGAATGTGTGGAATTAATGAAAATTTCAGAATATAGATTAAGAATTAAAACTGGAATTCAAATTTTATTGTTTTTTTCTAGTTTTTGGTGTGTAGTCTCGAATACCAGACCTAAAACTTGTCGTTGTTGATGTAAACAACATGGCGTCAATATGACTTAAATGGACTCCAGATAGAGTGTAATGAATTCCCTAATTTTTACTTAAATCTTCTGAAAATAACTACTATCTTTTAGTTTTGCAGGCATTAACTACCACACTGTTCTTTATTTTGGGTTTTGTGGAGCTCTCCCA